TTGTCAGGATTTGAGGGCAGTTGTGAGAACCACCACTGTGTGTGTTGGAGCCGCATAAATGATTTCCCTTTTCCTCTAGGATAGTCATGTGATGCCTAAGGTTTGTACCACTAATGTGACCAGAGGGGGTAAAACTCAGACTTACTCTACTCATCAGGTGAGAACCATAATGGAACTCTTAAATAAATTTGCCACCTGAGTATTTTAATTTTTAAAAAATATATTTTTACTGATTTTAGAGAGAAAGGGAGAGGATGATAGAAACAGGAATGATGAGAGAGAATCAGTGACTGGCTGCCTTCTGCACGCCCCCTACTGGGGACCAGGGGGACCTGGGCATGTGCCCCTGACCAGAATCTAACCTGGGGCCCTTCAGCCCGCAGGCTGATGCTCTATCCACTGAGCCAAACCAGCTAGGGCTCCATTGATTGTTAGAGAAAGTGGGAGAGGGAGAGAGAAAAACCAATGCGAGAGAGAGAAACATCGATTCCACATGCCCCGGGCCAGGGCCAGGAGCCTGGGACCGAGGTGTGTGCCCTTGACTGGAGTTGAATCCAGGACCCTCAGTCCGCAGGCTGGTGCTCTATCCACTGAGCCACACAGGCCAAGGCCACGATGCCAGTTCCTATCGACAGCGGAGAGCCTACCCTTGTCCTCTGGAGAGCCCAGGTCTGAGTAACTGGTCAGCCACACGGGTGCTGCTCCGTGTTTGTGACGGAAACTCGGGGGGCAACACCAAGGTTTCGTTTGGTGGGTCCCCTTGTTAGCAATTCGGCTTCAGCGTGTGTGGTCACACACCATGGACGGGAGACAAGCGCCACCCCTGTGACCCCGCTGGGTGGGGTCTCCTGGACTCTGCCCTCTGCGTGGCGTCTTCCTTTGCTGACTCATCGCTGGCCCCTCATTGAGATAAAAAACCAAGGGGGTGGTCAGGGCGCAGTCCCTGGAGGCTCCGGGGTGGACTGTGCCACGGCCCCCAGAGCTGCGTCTTATGTCCTTAACTCATGAGCACACCCGCCTCCCTCTTGCTTCAGCCTTTCCCCAGGACAGCGTCCCCTCTGCGGCCTGGAGTGAGGGCACATGGTCACGTCGTGGGCAGATACAGGTAATCCCCCTTCATCTCAGCCAAAGGCCGAGGAACGATAGGGAAGTCTCCCCTCAAAACCCGGATCCGTGACCCCATGAGGCCCAGGACTGAGGAGTGGACATCTTTGGGGGACAGCCTCCTGCAGGGGTGGGGCGGGTGGTTAAATGTCTTAAAAATGGGTTTGCTGCCCTGACCGGTTTGGCTCAGTGGCTAGAGCGTATCTTTGGGGGACATTAGCCTCCTGCAGGGGTGGGCAGGTGGTTAATTGTCTTAAAAATGTGTTTGCTGCCCTGACCGGTTTGGCTCAGTGGATAAAGTGTCGGCCTGCAGACTGAAGGGTCCCGGGTTCGATTCAGGTCAAGGGCATGTACCTTGGTTGCAGGCATGTCCCCAGTCGGGGGTTTGCAGGAGGCAGCTGATCCATGTTTCTAACTCTCTATCCTCTCTTCCTCTCTGTAAAAGAAAGCAATAAAACAATATTTTTTAAAAAATTACTCAACTCTTTAATAAAAATGTGTTTGCTTTGCGGGGCCTGGGTGGATCAGTGGTTGAGCATCAACCGAGGAACCAGGAGGTCAGAGTTCCATTCACCACCAGGGCGCATGCCCGGTTCCAGCTGGGTCCCCCATGGGGGTCGTGCAGGAGGCAGCTGGTCCATGATTCTCTCGCATCATTGACGTTTCTCTCCCTCGCCCTCGCCCTCCCCTGAAATAAAACAACATGAGGCCAACCCTGCGCCTCGCTGAGGCCTGTGGGCAGGACGAGCCCATCCCCTCCTGGCGGCCGCAGTCCTGGCCCCACGTCTGGAGGCTCAGTGTCCACCCTGTCCCCCGATGGGGTCTCTACACCCGAGGGTGACCTTGGGGTCCCAGACCCCAACCCCCACTCTGAGCAGTAGCCAACTGCGGGCCCCTGTGCGCAGGCGCACAGCTCTCTCTCCCCTGG